AAATTATATATATTTTTTATAAATTTTTTTTTCTTTAAACACATGACATACAAAGAAATTGAATTTACTGTTTCTTTTCAGACATCTTAAAAATTTATTACATATTTCTGCGAAGTTTGAAAATCTTATAAAAGATGAACATTAATTAATAAAAGATGAATAATTAACATTAATTTTTTATTTAATCTTAAACGTGTCATTGAATTTATGTATATTAAATTAATGTATTTCACAAAAAAAAAAATATCCTGCTCTTCCGAGAAAATGACAGAAATTCATCAGCGACACAGCTTAACGTTCAGCGCTCTCTTTGTTCCTAATTATTATGCCTGCAGCCCTTGCGGGATTGGTCCCATAATCCTCGGCGCATCGGCGGTCGAGTCAAGATAATAGGGCCCGCCGTGACGGCGGCTGTAGCGGCAAAAAGTGGAAGGGAAGAGAGAAGAAAGTGCGGCCGAACGAGCACGGAATTACCCGAACGTCTGCATATGCGACATTGCGTGATCAGCGTAAACTTGGCGTTGCATCGCACGGCTCGAGCTGATGTTAGTCAACTGTAGTCGACCGTCGACTATCGACACGGATGTGTTTAATGGGGTACCACGTGTCGCGATCACGTGACCTTGTCAGCGCGAATGTATATATGAATTATATACATATTATTATTATTTATTATATGCAGAACAAAATGTGAATGTTATTGACATTGAAAATGGTGCTACGTATTGTGGTGCTTATCCTTTCGGCGGCGTTGGTCCGAAGTTGGGGCATCAACCATGCGCATCCCGGAACTGGCGCCAAATGCGAGCGATTGAACGTATCCTTTTGCCGAGGATTGCGTTATAATATGACAGCGATGCCGAATTTCATGGGTAATGAAGATCAACGGCAGGCAGAACGAGGGGTAACTGTGATTCTTGAAATGTTGAACTATTCCTCGCTTATACTTTATGTCGGGAAAATTAGAAAATATTATCATAAATTATGAATGCTAAAAAACGCTTTCTAATCCGAAAAAACGAGATTTTTTTATATTATAAATATAATGTATTATAATGTATTATAAATTAAAATCTTTTTTTTTTAAAGGAGATTAACAAGTTAACGGTTTATATTAATTCTCAGTTTATATTATACACTCTAGAGAATTGAAAAAATAACATGTATTTTAAATAATATATCTTGTATAACATAAAATAATAACTGTTTATATTTATAAATAATTTCTTGGCTGAAACTATGTATTACATATTAATTTCTCGGTGCAATTTTCCTAAAAATAAAATCCATATAATTATTTATTAAATGTTTAAGATATTGTAAGATAATGTATAAATATTTGCGATGTTTATTACAGTTACATTAAAATAAAAAGTAACGTTAAATATGTTGGGTCTTAATAGCTCTCGGGTGGGAAGCAGGTAGAAAAAGGGAGAGATTTTCATGGCAACGAGCGTTAATAAGCGATTGAAGATCAAAGAACATACGTCCGGCTCTCATTAGCAGCGATAAGGCGAATCAAAGTCGCTGAACCGTAACGTTATGGGAGGGAGAGAACGAGAAGAGGGGAGGATAAGAGGAGAATACCGGTCCCTTTTTCTCCGAACAGGATACATTCGATACATGCTTCTCTCCATAGGAGACATAATTAGAAGCCGTTTTCTCGTCTGTGGTCGCGGATTATTGGATTTCTCGACATATCAGTTCAGTACTGATTTCCGGTTAAATTCCACTTTCGCGGAATCGCTATCAATTAGCGACAAAAATGGAACCTATTTGCATGTAATCATTACAACATTTAATATAGTTTTTGTAAATTAACTTTAAATGAATTTATTTTCAATCAATTTGTTCTAATCTATTTCTCTTGCGAGCCAAAAATAATATGATAGTATTTATTTGTATTAATCCTGACTTCTGTGGATGAATTTTCATCCAAATTCTAATTTTCCTCGTGAATGTTATTCAGGATCATGTTCTGAATAACATTTGTCAAGATCAAGGTTATCATTGGAGATTATACCAGAGATGGAGAAAGTTCTCAGTTATTTTTCATGTTACAAAAATGTGTATTGATTTTAACAAATGTTATTCAAAGTATAATTCTGAACAATATTCAGATTTGATTGGATACCTTGGGTAACGTTGGCGGTATTTTCAAACCTTCATAACTCGAAAATACTTAAATACTGAAAAAATATTTTATTATAGTGGAGAGCTTATAAGATAAAATACAAGAATATACAATAAAAAATAGGAGTTTTCATTTAAAAAAAAACAATATGATTTTGGCCTGACCTTGATGATGACCATCCAAGTTTAAATCAGTATCTTCTTATATCTCCCTCCGAAAAAAAGTATAACTATTGTTGTTTTCGATTTTTTTTTGCGCATGCTGTACAGCCAAAAATATGGCGGTCTTTATAGTTGACGAATTAGATTATGAAACAAGCTTAACACAGAAACTCTAATTTAAGCATTTGCCTTAGCCAGTGAGCTCTATAACGTACTGGAGCGAATTATAAGAGTGCCTCAGTTCCTGAACAAGGACATTCAAAGTTGGTACTGTTTTCATCAGGAATTCACTTAATTAATGTTGTTTTATTACCCTAAGTGTAGAAAAGAGTCAGAAAGCCCTGTAATATTGTTTGTCTTTCTTTTCTCCGTCGAATCACAGTTTTCTAGTTTAGTATTTCTATAGTAGGGAAGGCTTGCTCGAATATATCCCACACAGTACACTTTATCTTATAATATAGAGAGTCCAATGGACGTCATTTTAGGATATCGCGATAATGTTGTCATATCCGTAGGTGGTCTCAGTTATCCAACGGATATCCAGGGGATGTATAAGTGTCCGCATGTGAGATCCCATGGATGTCGTTTAAGATATTCATGGAATATCCAAGGAACTCCATGAGATATCACAAGTATTATGTGTGTTTATATATGTTGTTATCTAAAATAAAAGGGAAATGTTTTATCATATCATTATTTTTGGAGAAATATGTTATATATTGCCTCATTATTAAATAATGAAATAAAATATTAATTTGAAATAATATATCACATTTTTGTAATTTATATATTCTTAGGCTGCTTTGGAAACGTTATGCCTCTGTATCGTTTTATTCTTGTTGTTCACTCAATATTAAACAAAGATGATACACGGGGATAATGTTTCCGAATATAGTCTTACTATAACATTTAATATAAATATTTGTAAGCTTCATATGAAATATATTTTAATTGATACATCGTATTGTTTGTGTCCAAAGTAACTATGACATTCTTTACTTTTAATCTTTTAATTCTGACACTCTCCTATAGCAAACCTTGCTATATTTTAGATATTTCTCGACACTCTTATGCCTATTTCCAATGTAGATTAACTTTAATCTCGGTTCAACTTACTCTTCGTCTTTTTCTAATCTTTAGAATTAGAAAAAGACGAAGAGTAAGTTGAATCGAAATTAAAGTTACTCTACATTGATGGAAACGTGCATAAGAGTGAGGATATTTCTTGGAGAACTGTGTTGTGTGGTGAAAGGATTTGAATATAGTAGGATATTTTAAGGTATTAATAAGATATCTTATGATATCCTAAGATGTTTTACGATATTTTCTCTGAATATCTCGGATGAAACATCCGTAGAATTGCTTTGTCAATATGGAACAATTTGAAATATCTTCAGGATAAAGTGTGCTGTATGTGATATGTATGTGATATGTATGTAGAGCTCTATTACAGGTTTATTGTTCTTGGCTATATATATAGCCAAGAATATATATGACTTGAAACCTATATCAAAAATGCCAACACTCAGTATTTATATTATATATACTTTTACTGTGAATACGATCTATTTGATGCTACAAATTCTTCGGAACATTTTTTGATTGATCAATTAGTAAAATTTTTTCCCGATTGATCAATCAAACGCTTTGAAACGTTTATAGTGTCAAGTGGATTGCACCTTAAGTGGTAATCACAGAGAATGCACAGATTTGAAAATAAAGAGCATTCTTTTATACATAAGGTCGGCTAGCATTTAATTATACATGGAAACTTTTACATGGAAAATAAGTTTATTCGCGTGTCTTGAAATTCTCCAAAATTTTTGCACTTAAAATGAGATGAATGTACAGGGTGTAAGAAAGCTTATACGTGGAGCATACCATGAGATACGGGAAGAATCCAAATCTAAAAGTCCTTCGTCTTTTTTGATCTGAATTCTATGTTCATTATTATACAGTATTAAATTTAGCGAATCAGCGCCCGTCTATAGAAAGAAAACATAAAAGAGAGAGGGATTGATGATTACCATTTTGCTGATCATTGTCGTCCTTCTCCTGCGTATTCGTCAGTTTCATTCTACTTTGCTGCTTCCTGTCCCTGCTTTCCCTCTATAGACGGACGCTGATTTGCTAATTTTAACAATGTATAATAATAGATGTAAAGTTCAAATTAAAAAATGACTTAGGACTTCTCAGCATGAATTCTTGTTCTATATTTCATGAAATGCTCCATACACGTTTTTTAATTACACTCTGTATCTTTGAGCGTTGAAAAGCGAAGATACCTTCATTCTTATCCAAATGTAAAAAAGGATTTTCTTTTTTAAGTGTAACACATCTTTATTATCATCAGCACCAGTGAAGCGTCTTTTTAGTTGTAGGCAACAAATTTATATGTATCTCGACGAATTGTTTGTTCGACATTTTCCAAAAATTGTTGTTTTTACACAATAAAGACTTATGAATAGAAGTGTGAATACAATAGAACTTGAATTATCATTTTCTTTTATCTTCCAGATTGATCTCGTTATTGAATCTCGTGATGCTAGCATTATGCGCGATAATTTTGAGCATTTATTACCATTATAAAAACTCGATAATGAGGTCGGAAGGGAATTCGGGAGATGAAAAAACAATGTTAGATAATCCGGATTCTACTGTATATTTTTCATAACTTTTTATTGTAATTTTTTATTGTAATTTCTTTTAAAAATTGTAAATAATCTCAAAGATAAAAATAAAATTATCTAGAAACTTTTAGATAAATATTCATATAAATTAATCTAAATCATCTAGATTAATTAAATTAAAATCATTTTTATCTAGAATAAATTTCCAAATTAATTTTCATCTTATATGCATTTATGCACAATACTGCACCCGTTGTATATGCTACACACATACACACACACGCGCGCGCGCACATGCAGACACTGTATTTATATACACATTCATTTATCTACACATATACATGTACGACATAAGGAAAGAGATATTTATAGCCGAGGGTTCACTCTTGCTCGCTCAGTTTTATTATCGTAATAACATTAAGGCGGCTTCCTTTGAAGATGCCTGAAGCGAGATAGCCCTGAGTAAAACTACGTATTTTTGTAGCAGCTGCGTTCTCCATGCGCACGTGTGCGTGGCGCGCGTGAAGGCGTGTTCATGCGTGAGAATATCGTCAGTGAATGCGGATTTGATATGCGCTTTTCACACGATGGGCCGGGGAAATGACGATAATGTTGGATCTACGTGGAGGGAACTTGAAAAATCCTTAATTCTTTTTTAATAATAAGTTATTATAACTTATAAACGCCACAGACTTGATGTTGAAAAAATATTTGAAAAATCAAAATAGATAATATTTCTAAAGAAATTGATAAATAAAATCTTATAGGTATTGATTTTAAATTTTAATGAAATTTTGATTGATTATAGGAAGAAAGTACATAACATTAAAAGAATAGAAGGATTATGGTAAAAGATTTCTTAAAGAAATTTTAATTTATAAATATTATTTAGTACTTATATTTATTTAATTTGTTTTATATTCTAATTTAAAATCATAAGAGAAATTTTGAAATTTCAAAGTTTTAATAACTTTACAAT